AGGTCAGTCAATAATATGCCGTTCCCATCAACAATTATCACAACTTGAAAGTAATATAACATTTGGTATTTTTCTCCATTGGGGGTTAAAACCTCTGTAGAATAGCTATATAGATAGAAAGCTGGGATTTTCACACCACCTAATCTTTAAAAACTACCAGCTTTTTCCATAAGCAATTCCAGTCCAAATACCAATGTCATCGAAGAGATATTGCATAAAAGCTCCAAGTAGTTCCTAGTTAAAGCCATTAGTTAACTTATAAATATATGGAGCATAGCTCGAGAGCCCTCGATGTTTCTGGCATCAAACATTGGTGACTTACTTGCGTTTAGTCAAATGTGCCTGTTGCTTACTGTGTGATCAGTCTTATACAACACAACCATGGAGGGTTCCAGACGACACTAATCCAATAAGGAAGCATAAGAATATTCAGATTCCTCACTTATCCTCCACAAACCATATTTGATGTCCATACTCCAAAACAAAAAGGATGTAAAAACACCTCCTTCCATTAAGGAAGTGTCCTCGTAGAGAAAACATAAATGCAACTTATAAATATGCACAATCAGGCACATCTTTCTTCATTTCTGAATATGTCACAAGATCCCTTACATGCTCCAATCCAGAATTACAAATATCAAAAACCAGTAAGGTCTTAACAACTTAACCAAGAACGATCCATCATTCAATACATATTCTAGAAATAAAGTTCAGAGGCTGTTAATCTTGATAAACTTTCCTTCCCAGAACCGTAGGCAGTAATGCAAAAGCTTCCATACATTTGTCCACATCCCTACAGGAGCCTCTTTCTCTTATTAAGTCTGTTCCATAAACAGATAACTTGTGACCATGTTATTCCACTTCCACCAATCACTCTTCTTAGAAAAAAGCATGGCGTTCCTCTCAGAAACAAAAGGTCGTCTTCAACATAGAAAGAGTGGGAGGGGAAAAACGAGGAGAAGAAAGAGAAAAAAAGAAACACAAATATAACACAACACAAAAGCGCAGTTTGACTCACATCAATAGTATGAACCAGATCCACTGCTACCCATGTAACTGCTGCCCCCCACACTACGTCCAGGGTACATTGAAGAGTAAGAGCTGCCACCAACCTATCAAAAGAAAGAGACAACATCAAAACAAAAGGAAATTGGAGAAATAAAATGTCAAATTAAAGAGAAAAAAAAAACTATTTCTTACATTGCTACCACGAGATATATAATCACCACCATAGCTGGATGAGTACATTCCACCAACGTCACTACTAAAAGAACCTGAAATCAATCGAGAGCCCATATAAGCGTATAATGTAATTTATATATCAACCCACAAATACATCAATACTCCTCCATATCGACAGCCTAGTGCCAAACAACAATATAAGCCCTCACCTGAGATAGAACTTCGACTATCATATCCTCCAATATTAGATCTGCCAATCCTATCAACAAGGTGACAGGCGAGTTAGTAAAACCACTTTACTAAAAGTCTGAAGATAAATACTAGTATATTTCTCTTATATTTCCACTAATAAAAGTGTACACAATTAATTTAATCATTTATGGCAGTTTTTGCTCTATTTCTCTATGTATTTCTGAGAATGGAGGGAGAGAAGTTGACATACCTGCTGTCATAGGCATCTCCATACTGAGAAGCACCAGCACCATATTCATATTCTAAACGACTTCTTGATTGACGAACACCAGCATCAGCATAAGCTGGAGGCACATCACTCTAAAGTTGGGCAAAAAAATGTCAACAGCGAACGATAATTGCTCATTTACATACAAACTAATATATGATGAGATAATTATCATAAATCTCACCAATGAAGAATACGGGCGTTTTGATCCAATTATGGCATCATAATCACGTGCACGTACATCACGGTAGCTTGGAGGAGGGGGTCTTTCAAACCTTCGGCCATATCCATCATCTAAATAAGCTCTCCTGGGTGCATCTCTACGAGGTGGGTCAGAAAACCCAGGGGCCCGAGAAGCATATTCATCTCTATAGGGTGGATTCCTTTCTGGTACAACCCTGGAGGCATAATCAACAAGAACTCTGCTTCTTGATGGATGCAGCTCCTCACGTCGACCATAATCTCTCTTTAAGTTACTCTTTGAGTAAGAAGCAACTGCACAAAAGATAAAATACCAGTCATGAAGCTTCAATAAAAATATGACATTTGTAGTTCAATAATAAAAGATACATACCAGGAGGTCCCCTGTCATAAGACCTGGCTACAGGAGCAATTTGTCTTCCTCGTACTGGAACTGCAATGACAGGACGTCTATCTCTAACTCCACCAGGCCTCTTTACACTGACAGGTGGGAAATGACTGCCAACACCTCTAACTCCTCGAACAGAAAGACTTCGAGGAGCTGGTCGCCCCCATGAACCCCTAACTGCTCGTCCAGATGTACGCCCAGGCCAAAAATCTGCACGACCAGCATGTTTTCCTTTTCCCCTTTGTAGTGGTCTAGATAATCTAGCCCTCACTTTAGCCTGATAGATATAGAAATTGCAGAAAACAATCATTTCAGAAATAGGTACAAGAGAAGCACCTTAGAAAGTAAATGCCATGAATTCCTCAAAAGAATAGACCTTGTTATCCCCTTCTCCCAGCTCTGAGTTGTTGATGCTTTTTGCACAGGAAACTGCAGCATCATGTGAGTCAAATGTAACAAAACCGAAATCCTTTCTCTTTGCTGAAGGCATATTCCGGGCAAGCTCAATTTTTTCAATCTCCCCATATTTCTTAAGAAGTCCTCGAACAAATTCTTCATCCCATGAGGCAGGTAAGCTATCAACAAATACAGTCTTCACCTGTTTGGGTGACACAACAACAATTGCAACAGTAAGAAAAACATCTCCATACATAAACTAGACATATTTAAAGAGAAAATGAGACTAAATACAAGTGCGTAACCAAGGACACACCAGAAAACTGAAAAGAAAAATAGCGTGATAACTAAAAAATTAAAGGGGCCAGAAAACAAAACCATAAGTAAATAATGAAACCAAGGCAGTAGCTACAAATGAACCCACAACAGGTGAATAATATAATCCTGGAAGATTGAACTTGTTACCCAAAGATAAATTATGGTACTTTGACAAGTTTAAAACAATACTGGGTATACGATAAGTTTGTATCTAAAAGTTAATTTATTAGAATGTTCAAACACAATATTTCCATTGAAGAATGTGAAATAGTTATCTCATTGCTAACCTGTGCCATTATTTCATCACCAGGGTCAATAAAAGAATCAGCAAAAGACACTTTGGCAGGTCTATCAACTCCAAATACCACATCCCTTTTCTGAAGACGCTTGAAGGCATCCATGGCATCTGAACGAGATGAAAATTCCAAAAAGGCAAATCCACGATTTGACCCTTCATTATTACTATCTTCTACCAACGTCAAATCCTCAACATTATCAACTCCATAATGTTTCAACTTCTCCTTCAGCTGGATCCATGTATAGTAAAATATCATAATGTCAGGAAATTCAAAACTCCTTGGAACAAAAAAAACACCTGATCAATGGAAAATGATAAACCCGCAACTTACAGCATCCTTTTTCCATGTCTTGTTTATGTTACCAAGAAACAGGGTATCGCTGTCTTGACTTGGAGTCACACCACATTGTTTCCCATTGATCTGGAATTTCATTAATTTAAATTTTAATAGCTTGAGGTGGTAGGTCCTAGTATTACTATCCTCCTATATAGACAGGAAAAGATTACAAAAATGTCAAAAATACCACTGGGTTCTTCAGCTCTGACACAGCACGTTTTGCCTCTTCCACTGTGGCAAAGCGTAAGAACGCAAAACCTTTATTCTTCTTTGTCTGGGGGTTCATCATTAGCCTCACTTCAGTAACTTCACCAACTGCACTGAACACTTTCTTCAGATCCTCCTCTTTTACGTCCTTGTCTAAGCCTCCAACAAACACTTCAAATTCTTTGCGTTTGCGCCTCTCCTTGAATACTTCATGATGCTCTTCCTCATCAGCATCGACCATGCCAGCATGTTCATGGTCTTCAGCAGCTTGCTGATCATCCTCCTCGCCCTCGGGATCCTCCTGAACATCCTCAACATCTTCTTCACCCTCCTCGTCGCCCACATTGTCCTCAGGTTCCCCATCCCCATCTACCACCTCCTGAACATCCTCTTGTTCAATTTCTTTTTCATCAAACTCAAACCCCCCATACTCCTCGGGCTCAGATTCAGGATCATTATCTTCAAGATCCAAGCGTTCATCCTTTCCATACTCATCATCTTTTACTTCTTCTTCTTCTGAAATGAGATGTGCATTGAAGATCTATCCCGGTCAACAATACACTCAAAAAAAATTCACTGGATATATTAACAAGTAAACAACTAAATCGCAGCCCTAAAATTTGGCATAAAAAAATGTCCAGGTTCTAGTCATGTATACCCACCCACGCATGATACYGACAAAACCTCAATAATGTGAGGTAACCAAACGAGGTCAAGTAGACAATGGAATTACACTCAAGTCCCCAAAAATAATGATGTGATTATATAGGGCAAATACATAATATACCGATGTTCCTCAATATTATTCCAACCAGATAGAATTAGTATGAAGCCCACAATTACAATAAGATCAAACAATAACTTAAAATAAGAGACACGTAACTAGTAAAGAATGCGGATACTTAACTTCTTTCCCATACAAAGACCATCAATAACCATCAATTAATTGTACATACAAATAGAAAAAATCAACGAGCTCTGGCCCTAACAGAGACCCAGTCATATTCGAAAGACAATACTTACTCTTCGGAGGAACCGATTGTTTCGAATCCGATCTGACGTCATGCGGAGGTTCGACCTCCTCGACATCTATGGCAATTGGTTGTTTCTCTTCAACAACAACCGGCTTACTCTGAATTACAGGCTTATCTTCGACGACAGGGCTTTTTTCTTTTTCCTTCACCGTGACTTCCTCACGAAGCTCCTTGGTTTCAACCTCAACCACCGAGACCTCCTCGACCTTCACCGTCTCTTCAGGAACTTCTCGCTCCGSCGGCGGATCTTGTTTCTTGGGCGTCCCTCTGGTAACCCTCCCACCTCTCTTCGACCCCGCCGACGCCGCCCCTCTCTTTACCGTCCTCGGAGGCATCTCGACAATCGCAGAATTATCAGAACAATGACACAGATCTGAAACGTTGAAGACGAAACAACCCTAGAAACTCAACGTCGCGAATCGGGTGGTGGACAATACGAAATCTTCTCGGAAGTTCGAACGATTAGCGAAGCGCTGAAAAATCGACAGGAAGAAGAAACCCTAAATACGATTAGGAGAGAGAAACGAACGATACGGAAGATAGAAAGAAAGAGAGAATATATATAGAGCGGTGGAAAAATTAGAAACCCTAACTGCGAGGACGTGATTTATAAGCAGAAAGGGGTTACTTGCCTGTGTCACTCGGACCACGCCCTTCGCGTGTGAGCGTTTTGATCACCGTACGCKTGCGCGTGTAAAACGCGTGTGATTTAATGCGTTGATTTTTCCGATTAAAATTGGTCTTTTTTTTCTTTTATTTTGACTTGATATTTGATACTAATTTCTAAATCACAAACAATTTATTAATTAATTATACATCTCTAYTGTCGGAGACSTATGTCAATTATGAACTATATGCATTTCTTTTATTTTTGTGACGATGAACTCTCATAATTACATCTTTTAATTTATATATTTTAACTTTGATTTTTATTTTAATTTAGTCCCAATAATTTCACAATTTTTATTAGGTTAAATCACAAAATTAGTCYGTAAACATAGCATTGTTAAACACAAAATTCAATTTTATGTCTAAWAGATATACCAGTTGAAACAAAAAATAATTTATTATTAGACATAAAATTTAAAGTTTTTAGTACAACAAATGTGTGTGAGGATGTATATTCAACATTTAACCTCTAGAAAATAAGAATTTGCTTTAATCGTTGAATTATGCTCATGGTGATACAAAATTAAAAATTACAAGAGTTATTATATATTTTTTTAATTTATTGACCAACTTACCAACATTTAAAAAGTTTCGGACCTATTAAGTAATTTTACAATTTTATTATTTTATCATTGTTATTGTGATTAAAGCTGAATTGGTGAAGAGTGATGTAAATTCTGATGAAACAAATAAATTACCATAGCGTTTTCTAAATTATAGGCTTATATATATTTTTTGGCTTTTTTTTTCAATAGGCGTCGAAATAATATTAAAATAAAAAATATATATTGTTATCATATAAATCTAGGGCAACATGACTCTGATATCCAATCGAGCCATGTGGATCGATTTTGCCAAAAAGCATGCAATACAAAGTACACAAAGCTCAATGTACACTGCACATGGACATCTCGGACGAGAGACACCATTTCATACATTGATACCACGAGATATATGATCTCCACCTACAAATAGGAGAATGTTGGTGGTCTCCTATCACCTTTCASGTCAACATTGTGCCCTCACTTACTTTGTTTTTTTATTTTAGTTTCTAAYATTTTTTATACATGAAATTGGTTCGGGAGATTCAAACTCATRACCTTATGATAAGAGAGAGGTGTCAATTATCACTGAGCTAGACTTATGTCAATGTATTTCAACAAACTAATACTTATAATTTACTACAAAGTATACATGGAGGAACAAAAATCATTGAATAATTATTATAAATTTGTTGGGACACATTTATTCAATATTATGGTTTCTGTATTTTATTGGTCCATAAATTTACAAAATTTACACTGTGGCATTTCCAACGTAAAAGTGTAATATTTTATAAATTATTTACCACACTAACCTTGCAAAAAAAAAAATTTATATTTTTCATTTTTTATCTTTGTACGAAAAAATAAATAGACGATTAAAGCCTTCTATTATTTTTGTTTGTTTAAACAATTGTGGGTTACACGATAAAAATCAACCTGAAACTATGCATAAAATATATGAAGACACAATACAAATTTGGAATAAAATTAAGTGCATGCCTCAACTCGATTTCAATCATATTAATCTATGTGGCTAAGTTTTAGATCAACTTTAGATGACTCATATAGTTCAATCGATTATGACATTCACCACGACTCTAAATCAAATATCGAAAAACGAAACTGTTACCACGTATTTGAACTATGTAACACTCAAAAAAGAGTGTCGTTTCTCTGGCCCATTTGATGGATTAAAGGGCAATATTAAAAATTGTTAAGGGGATAAACTAAATTCCAACATCAAAGTCTCCCTTTGAACTCCTACTCCTATATATGCAATTTGATGTAAAAAAAAATGATGTAGTTGCTTTTTTTTTTTTTTTTTAAATTGTTCTAACAGAAATATTCATCCAGCGAGCTCGAACATAGCTCATTGTCTGCCAAAACATCGCTTCGACTCCTCCATCCTTTTTCAGACTATGTTTTTTCATACTCATAGTCTAAATTCGCCAAATTAACGAACTAAAAAAAAGTTTACGAATTTAATCTTAAATATTCGACTGCGGTGGCAGCAACAGTCGTCGAGCGATGCTGGCAATAGCAGCAGACTCCGATGTTTTTTCACGACCTCTGATGACTGACCCACGCGAACTCCAGCAACGAGCATCCAGATCCGCGACTAACACCAATTTACAGACCAAACAAATATCTAGTGAATATATATTGGAATCTATAAGAATTAAGATTTCAGTTCCACTGGATACCATTCTATTTCTCAAGTATAGCCAGCCAAATAAAAATATTCATTACAGTGAACATTCAAACTTATTTTTATTATGGTACTTAAAAGTGTCCTCATTGGGGTAAAAAAAAAAACTTTTAAAAGTGTCTATTTGATTGAAAGAAAACCAATAATGTTTATGTTAACACATTTATCCACATATTCAAAGCCACATCAAAATACACTTAAAAACTAAAGAACAAATCAATGAACTGAAATAAAAATTAAAGAACAAATTAATGAACTGAAATAGAACTAGAATAGACAATTCAAAAGTAAATGAATTAATTTAAAAGAAGAATTAAAAGAAAAAGCACTCTCACTTTCTACCCTTCTACCTTCTTAAAACCACTTTTAATCACAGTACCAATGCATTTGCTCATAAACTGCATCAAAAAAGGGCTAAAAAAAGGCCTTATTTCTTTCAATGGCTTTGAACACAGAAGCTCAGAAATCCAAAAGAATTTGGCCATCTTTTTTCCTCAAATCCTCCAACAATGAACTCTGCCACCATCAACTAAAGCAGCAGACACTCCCGTTTTAAAAGATACCACTCTGTCAACAAGTTCCAACACCTGCTTCGTCTTGTTCACAAAAAATTGTAAAAACAGAAACAGAGATTGTCGGATTTGGATGAATCAAGTTCATCCGTTTCAAAAATGGCAGATGATATAAACTCTTTCTAGGTGAATCTCGCCATTATCAGATTCTTTCTCCATTTTTGAAGTTTCCTTCCGCCATGTTTGGGAGCTACAAATTTGCAGCAAGTTCAGAATATTCAGACAGAACAAAGAGGAAGCTCTCTCTTTTCTAAACACGAACAGAATGAAACTTTGATTTGCAGAGAACAAACAAACTGAATAATTTACCTCTATATGTGAAAATTTACCAAAGTTTTTATGGCTACATCGATTAGACAATCTAGCTAATCCAGTTAAGGATAAAA